GGGGGGGGGGGGGGGGTCGTAGACACGCGTTTCGAAGAATAGCGGGAGCACCCGTTCATAAATATTCGGAGGTGGTGATAGCCGCGCAGGCCCGAGGATCGCTGCCGATGTAAGAAGTTATGATTCGGTGGTAGCAGCCCGGGGTCGTTGATTGTGGGAATTTTCGAAGCTTAAGGCTGAAGAACACCAAGGAGAGATGCGTAAGGAATGCCCTACCCAACGACATGGCATTCTTGGTCTGCACGAACTTATTATGCCGACACTATCGGGGAACAACTTCCGGTCAATGGCGGCCGCGTCCGCCGACGAGATCGGCAAGGCCAGCACCCTTACCAAAATCGTGTTCGCCTCACCTCTACTCAAGTCTCCGTCGTTTCCATCCTGTTGGGGACTGTCGGATTCTTTCGTCTCTTCTTCCCCTCCGGTTACTGCTTCCTGTGCGACCGCATTCATGGGGTATGAGGCAGGGCGGAATATGTTCAAGCGCTACTTTGACACTAACCATACGCTGTAAACCATGGGCTAAACAATATACATCGGTGTAGCCAACAGCATACACGAAGACGTCGCACGCCTCAGCAACGTTATCAACGCAAACCCTACCGTGAAAAATGCATACCTCTCCGACGGAAAACGGGCGAAGGCGAGGCACGGGCGCGGGATTGCTCATGCCGTCCTCTCCAGACCCATGCCAGCCCTGCCCCCCCGCCATCTCGCGCAGGCCGTCCATCACTCTCGAGTTGGGCTATCCACCTACTGCGTGTTTTTCAGAGCAAACGGGAGTGAAGAGAGAGGCATGGGACTCCCATATCGAGCCGTTTTTCTTTTTAGCAACCGAAGGAAGGATGTTGACTAGGGCCACGCAGAGCAGGCGGGGCTTGTGGGACGTGGAAGCAACACATCCGTACTGCTGTACTGCTGCTGCTGCGGTTCGTCGAGTCCCTAACCCTAGCCAAAATACATCCATGCGCGTGAGAAAATGAAACAGTATTTTTTTTTCATGCCGAAGAGAGGCTGGCACAGCAGTTGGAACATGACGGGTGTGCCAAGGTGGCATGCCAGGATACACCGCCGACTCTGAACAAAATCAGCCACGTTTCCCCCCAGTTCCAAAAGAAGTACTCATCGTTTAACGCTATACTTTGCGATGTACGAGAACCCTTGTATGGCTGCCCATCTGTACCAACCGCTGTGTGCCGTTTGCCCTAGAAGTCGAGAGCGGCAGCCATGGACCCAGTCAACTCGCTGCTGCTGAATGCTGCTGTGACTTCAAGCGGCGGTTCAATTTGAACCAAAAATGACAGATTTTTCTGCCTAACCAACCGAAGTGCTCATCGCTTTGTACGACACTTTGCAGGATCAGAGGAAACCTGTAAAGCTACCTGCCTGTCCGACCGCTGCGTACCGTTTGCCCTAGAAGTCGAGAGCGGCGGCCATGGAACCAGTCAACTCGCTGCTGCAGCCTACCCTTGGCCTACCCCCTAATTGAAGCGGCGGAAAGGTTTTTCATATTTTCTCAACGCACCTGCTACCGATGGAGCCCGTTCCTCTTGCACAAACTTGGTACATATATGAACTGACGTCCTTGCACACTGACGAGTAGCTACCGCCTCCTGATAGACGGCTGCTCGCCTTTGTGGGGTGCACTCGGGGGGTTTCCACGTATTCTCGCGGCAGTTTTTTAGACCCGAAAGTGGTGAACTGCTTTTCTAAAGGAATTTCCTGTAGTGCGTTGCCTATGTCATTATTGTCATAGTCTTTGCCACCCGACGCCCGCCCCCTCCCGCAGAGAGGCAAGAGGCAGATATCCGCCCTCGCCGCCGCCGGCTTCCTGCTGCTGGCCGCCCCCTCTTGCCTGACGGGGCAACTATTCTACGCTACCATGCCAAGGCATTGTGTGGTTTTTCTCCTGGTTTGTAACGCTCAAGCATGCCTGGCCTTCGTCCCGAGCTGGACTGCGACGTTCAGGTCGTCACGCTCGCAGCCCCCTACTTCAACGCCTGCGGCGGCGACGTCTTCGCTCTCACAGCCCTCTGGTACGACCTGCCTTGTGCTCGGGACGTTTGGCGCTTGTGGGGCGCGCATGGTTTACCCGGTGCGAGGGATCACGAGCTTGAGCGCGCTGAGCGAGGGCAACGAGGAGGAGGGGGGCGGCGATCATGATACGCGAGAAGCGGCCGGCGGCAGTCCGGCGGCGGATGAGATCCGTGCAGTCCAGGATGAGATCCGTGCGGTCGAGCTTAACATCGAGGATGTAGTGAAGGAGACGAAAAAGGTAGCCAAGAAGATTGATGATGTTGAGGCTGCTATTGCTGGGGGCTCCGGGTACCTCGGAATGACCGACCCCGAAGCCCTGTTGAGAAAGAGAAGGAGCGACTAGGCGACGAGAAGAAGCAACTACGCGACGAGAAGAAGCAACTACGCAGTAAGGAGGGGCAACTACGCGAGCAGGTCCTTGTGAAGGAGAAAAGGCTCTTCAGTATTGAGCAGCGCCGTGCCAACAACGCCCCAGCAGGTACGGAAGCGTCCCATTATGTGCGAAGATCCATGCAGCAGTTTACAGTGTAGGAAAAGCATGCAAGTCGCCCGCAACAAAAAAAGCAGACCATTTGAAAACAATCCAGGAGTAGTACTTTGGTAGCGGGTACATTCGTAGTGCTGTTTTTTTGCACGGGCAACTCGCCTCCTCTTCAAAGCAACCTGCGGACGTAATGGTAGATCCACACTCCTCAGCAACGACAGTATGTACGACCTTTTCGTGTCCCACTTGGCTGCAGAACGCTGTGACAAGTTTTCCTCTGCTCATACATATTTTAATTTTTTTGGTCCTTCCCATTGCACTCGTGGATTGCTGTGATCAGCAGAGACTTGTGCTTGCACGTTGGTTCCCCACATGTTTTCTTGCCGGTGCTTGTATCAGAGGAACCTCCGGTAGGCGGTAGGAATCTCTTCATGTGCATGTGTGTACCAACAGCAGCAGCAGCAGACCGCGCTCTATATCGTTGCGCGTGTGATGAACCCAACATAGCACTCCACAGGTGAAAAAAGGGGGGTTCGCAGAATAGAAACTGTATATACCCCTTTATTTGTACTGTCTGTCGGCCCCCTCGGATCTGGAAAAAAGTCGTCCTTGAAGCGGGGGGTTTCCTTACTACGAGCGTCCTTAAAGCGGGGTCGACTGTATTGGCTTCTGTCGTCTGCCCCACTGGCCCCCACCCTCCACCACGACTAGCTAGACGACCCAACCGGGGTCACACAGGAGCGGGGGTTGGATCCCCACCTGCGGTACGCGCCTGTTTATTTTTCCGCCAGCAGGGTGCAGCATTCCCCACCTTCGCCTTCGGTACACTTCAGTCGAAGTATGTATTTACCGGCGAAATCCCCGCGAAATCGCTTTCAATTTTCCAGGAACGACTGTGAGAATAAACTCCTTTCGTCGGGGCTTGAACCCATGACCTGGTTCTTAGAAAGTTTGCGTGGATACCAACTAGACCACCGGGGCGACCGGCGTATATAACCGCGGGACATTGATGTAGTCTAGTGGGGGAGATTGACAGCATTTACCGAAAATAATAGAAGCACGGCTGTCTTGGTAAACGCCTGCGGTTGAGAAGCCGCCGCATTCTCAGTTCCCTTCCCCACACTGGTTGTGTACTCCAAGCAAGTTTTCGAGTGTTTGTGCGTTCTTCACACACAAGTTCGGTCGCCCACATGAGCTGCTCCAGAATTTTGAGCACATGCACCCACAGCCTTCCTCACACCCTCCCTTCGGACAGCACTTGCTTGCGTGTCTCATGTAGTTGTCTTCGTGCCAGTGCTTTTTCGCGTGTTTTGTGTGACGACATGCCATGGCATGAATGGGGCTGCAGGAGGTAGGGGCGCTCGTGGCCCGTGATATGATACACTTTATGTATGCATGTAGTCTTTCAGCAGATCCTCGCGAACGGACGCATTGTGGGGATGCGGTGAAATGTTGGTTCGTTTGAGAAGAATGCCAACTTTTGTGAGACCCGACTCCGGGATGTTTGTTGATTCCGTACAGATATGGATCGCATGTTTTGCAAGGGAGCAGGTACTTCAGAACTGTAGGAGTAGTGCAGCGACAACGGCTGCACTGTCCAACCCTGTGCCGGGCTCTTGCGTGGCCCCCTTGCGATTTCAGGGCTGCTGCGCGCGACGCAACCGGTTTACTCACTTTGGGCTATTTTCCGTCTTCAGACCTAATCTTGTTACGCATTGCACAAATCCTCGAGCACGGACATGTTTATCATCTTGATGTGGAGATGCAGTGGAATATTCGTGCGTTTGAAGAGAAACTTTCAACAGAACCAGGTTAAAATGGTTCGAAGAACGCCCACCTACACTTTTGTGAGACACGACTCCGCAGGGGGATATGCTTGATTCTCGTCAGATAAAGTCGGGATATTGCACATGAAGCACCCGACGGCAGGTGCTGCGGTAGTGCAACGACAACGGTTGCACGTGTAGCCCAATGCTGGACTTTTTTGTGACCTAAATGTTATTTCAGCGCTTCTGAGCGACGCAACCGGTTCTTCCCCAACCCCCCGCATAATTACTCCCCGTTGTGTTTCGATGAAAATGTGATCTCGCTCCCCCTCCAATTTCGCCTCTGTCTGTTTGCTTTATACCGGTGCTGCACGCATGTCATGCTCGGACCTCAGGCCGCTGTTTTCCAACCAGGTATGTTGATACGTAGGTGACAAGCGTGCTCGACCTCCGTATGAATATGATTTATTTGCGGCGGATCGATGGTGCACGCGGAGACGATCATTTTGGTTAGAACACATAATTCTAGAATGCGAGATCGAGCATTCATGATGTAGTCTAGAACGCACACAGGGAGGAGTACGGTGTCCTTGCTACATTTTGTTCCATTCCAATAGACCCGAACAGAGTTGGTATTCGTGGATCCAAACCCTCCACATCTGGCGTTGTGGATCGAATCGTCTGGTCTTCCCGACGCCCACGAAATAACAACAGATCGTGTGGAACAGCAGTCGAGGAGGGTGGCCGGTACACGAGATCCACACTTCAGCAGCAACGCCCTTTTTTTTGCCCAAGTGGTTGCACAACGCTGTGTCGAAGTCCGCGATTGCTCATATAAAGGCGTGATTATTGATTATGGGAGGAGGAAAGCTGACCGCGTACCGCGATAGGATTGAAAGCACGAATCAAAGAAGTCATGTCATGTGGGGCTGAGTGAAAAGGACCCCGACCGCGTGGCTCTGGCTGTAACCCTGCGCTGTTTTTTTGTGTTGTTTTGTTTTGTTTTGTTTCGTTTTCATCTGGTCAGGATGCTCACCTTGGCTTCATATGTTTCGCCGATGATGACCCCCACTCAATGCCTGTACCGCACGCACCCTGCCGGCGTCATTTCTGGTCGAGTTCGCAAATAAGAACCATGTGTTGTACGCCAGTTGTTGTTGTGTCACCGAGGAGCTGCGTGTTGTACACCAGCTGTGGTGTTTTTTGTTGGCGTGATTATTTTTCTGAAAAAACTCAGGATCAGAGCTTCGTGTCCATACTCACTTGCAATTCGACCGTCAAGGGTCCCTTTTTCCATTCCCTGGCTGGCGAGGGTGGCAGCTGGGTTTGCTCGTGCCTCTTCCATCAGTGGAGGTTGTTTGGGAGAAAAGTGTAAATAGCATTACGGAGGGTCGAGGTTTTTCAATCGTCTTGCGCGTTCGATCGAACTACATTTATGCATACGGTAGTGTTGTGTACGTACTCCAACCCGTGGGTGTGTGCTCCATACCTCTGAGCGTGTCCGCAGCCACTTTTTTTTGGCATGGGTTACGTTTTTTTCGCGGCGTGGTCGTCAAAGACGAATCCGTTGGAATAATCCGTGGGAATTTTTCAAAGAAATAAAGGCCCAAAATCCGCCGCATTTCGTCCACGGATTTTGTTTGTTTACCCGCCGTCTTCATCGTTTATCGAATTTTATTTTGCGTACGGTACAAGCTGGGCTGTCCAAGACCTTCAATCTTTGTTCACCAACTCATAACTTTCAATAAATCATAATTGAGAGGAGTTGCGAGCATCCCGCTAATCAGCCAATCACAGCGGATACGCCCGTTGGTCCCGATGGGCTGTTGGGGCACTTGCTTCAAAACGAAATAGACACTCCGCTTTTTTATATAGGTTAAAGACTGGGGGAAAATATGAACCGCTCTTTTTTTTGCGGCGAGATAAAAATCGCACACACACACACGCTGAGCTGCTGACACACACGAAAGAGAAATGAGAGAGTGGGCAAGGCCAAGCCCTTGTCCCGCATCCGCAGGGTAGTGGAAGAAGGCCTTATCCCCGCATGATATCTATCCAGAGAAGCTGCATGACGTAGCGCCGAGACGCAGCGCTGAGCAGCGCAAAACTATTTCAGAACTGATTTTTGCAATTTTTGTGGAGCTTCGTTGGCATTCGTGGCCCTTTTGACCCTTTGAAGGTACCTTATTCTATGTCACCACTTCATCATGCATGGCCATATATATGTACTACATCCCCCCTATGTTTGAAGCTAGTGTCAGTGCGCCTCGTGCCAGCACACAGCTTCACGTTCGATTTGAAGGTCCTGTCTGTGA